ACATATTTCCCTGCAGGGGACCCTAACTTTTCAGTTTGGAAAGGTTCAAAGTGCCAAGCAACAAAAGCCCCACATTCTGACAGTCAGAAAGGGATTCACTGAAGAGCTTTCTGACCTCATCCTGCTTCGATGCCATTTTGTTTTCTCCTGTTATGAAACCTCTTTCAATTGTCTTAGTTACAATTAGGCACAAATTGTCTTAGTTACTTTTCTCATTCCTAACACAAAATACCCAACAACTACAAGTCAAATGAGGGAAAGATTATTTCAGCTCAGTTTACGGAGGTTTCAATCCAAGGGCAGGTGGCTGCCAGGCAGGGTAGCATGGCAGAGAAACAGTTCATGATGTGGCAGGCCAAAGGCAGCAAGCAGCAACACAGTAAGTTACAGCAAGCCGCTCTTCCCCTTTATCCTTTCCAAGTACAAGCCTTTTGGGTAATGCTACCTGCATCCACGGTGGAGCTTCTGTGTTTAGTAAGTCCATTTAACCACACTCAGAACTATGCTAATTCCAATCAGTGGACTAATTTAATACCACATATCTTTATTTTATTTCATTTCATTTTTTTTTTTTTTTTGGTGCTGGCAATTGAACTCAGGACCTCACACATGCTAGGCAGGAGCTGTGCCACTGAGCTATAACCCCAGCACCATATAACTTTAATCCTGGTATCCCACACTCTAGATCCATCCAGCTCTAAAAAGGCTCACCTATAAATGCATGAGGCTTTGAGGAAGAAATCTAGGTATAAGCTATAACACCCATCCTCTTTCAAAATCTGTTCTCTCACATAATCTGGAGGTACAAACTCACTTCTGTATAAGCAACAGTAATACTTTGGTTCATGAACTTAGTGCATTCCATGACTTCTGGAAAACTTAGCCACATTCATGTTCATGCAGGAAAAGTGGTCATGGTTGTGTCTGACACCCAATGTGGAGTCCACAAACAAAACCTAAAATTTTTCCAAATGTTTCTGTTTGTAAAACAAGTTTTTCATAAACAAAATCATTCATGAGCCGAAGTACCACTGTACAGTATTTGTTCTTTCAGTTTGGCTGTTTGCTTCTAGCTACATCATTTCTCTCACCATGCAAATATGCTTTGAAATTTGGGTCATAAATCAAGAATAAAAAATTTTTCCTTTTATAATAATCGTCATTTCATTTTAGGTCTTCATTACTCGGATCTCTCTGAGTGTTTCGTTTGATTGTAAATTTTTTTAAAATAATGAATAATATTTCTTACTAGTGTACTAAAAAAATAAGAAAGAAGGAGCAAGAGTGTTATAACTTGTATCTAAATATTCCCCCAAAGTCTCATGAGCTCTTAGGTGGCTGAATCTAGAATGAGTGAATATGAATTAAGGCATGTAATAACTAAATTAGTCCATTTTTTTTTGTTTAGCACAGTTCTGGGTATTAGTAATTTGAAGATTCACCCTGAGTGTGGGTGGCATCATTCAGTAGGCTTGGAGCCTAAAATTCACTGCTTCCTGTCTCCTGCCTTTTTTGTCATGTTCTCCTCTCTCATGCCCCTGTGCAATACTGTCCTGCCTTCAAGCCAACCAAGGATGGACTGAAACCTCTACAAACTCTGAACTAAAAATAAACCTTTTCTCCTTTAACTTGTGGGTATCAGAGATTTTGTCCCAGCAATGAGAAAGTAACTAGGACAGAGGAAACAGTGAGAGAGGAAAGGGGAAAAAGGAAAGGGAGAGGAGAAAGAAAGGAGGTAGAGGTGAAGTAAGCAGAGAAGAAAAAGAAAAAGATGAGAGAGAAAAAAAGGGAAAATAAAGAAGAAAAGAGTTGTCTCCTGATACTGCCTCCAGTTCCGATTCATTTATCAGCCCACTTTTATGTGGATTCTACCTCCCGAGAAGTCCACAGATTAGGGACACCAGATCCCAGGCACTGCCAAGTTCAGCAGATTTAGTTTCATCTTAACCTCTCACCAGTTTGACACAGTTAGTTTGACATTTCTTCTTTCTTATAAACTTAAATGCTGCTGACATTTTTCTCCCTCTATTGCATCATCTTCTCCGTATCTACTGCTATTTTCTACACCCTTATTAAATTCCTAAATAGCAGATTTTTTTAGTTGTTTCTTTCTATCTGATGATCTCCCTTTCTTTTCTGTGTTTAAATGATCTCATAGTTTCCTTGGCAGAACTACTACAGATATATTGTCAATTCCTGTAACTATATTTCTGGCATAGACATTTGTAAGAGCCAGACTCACACATTCAATTTCTTCTCTAGCATATCAAAGTGTATATTGTATAAAACTTCAAAATTAAGATGTCCAAAACATGAAATGAAATCTTGTCCTTATATTTCCCTCAAAGATTCTTCAGAGAATCGGCCATGATGGGACTGGTAGGACCCACCAAGAAGTCAATAAGCCAGCCAGCCTTTCTGGGAAGCTGGTTCCAGGAAGAGAAAAGTCAGCACCCCCTGAGAATTGGCCATGCTGGGACTGGGAGGAGACACCTCGAAAGCACCTCCTATGAGCCTAGCAGTGGTGCACTGGCTGAGAATCAAACCCCACCCCACCCGCCATGAGCAACTGGCTGGTGTGGAGGGCAGGATAAGTTGATAGCAACTAAGGTACATAAAGCAGTTAAATGTTTGCATTGTTTGGTTGATTTTTCAGGCCTAGGGCCATTGTTCTGAGCCTCTATTGAAAGGATGACAGTATACAATATAGCAGATATTGGGGATTTCCTTCTATCTTGCCTTGGAAATCCAACACTATTCTCACTGTTTTGCTTTGTTCTGATTAGTTGTTTTTGCTTTATTCAATATTCTGTTTTAATTGGTTTTATTCTGTTTTGTTCTTGGTTTGATTTTGCTACACCTGATGAAATGGACAACTATTGGAAGATAACAAGATACACTATGGTAGCCATTGTTGTTTTCCTAGTATCCTGCCTTGAAGTTCTGTACCAATTTTGCTGCTTTTTTTTGACTGACTTTGTTCTGTTGGATTTTACTATCTTTAAAATTAAAAAAAAAGATTCTTCTATATCTAAACATATGAAATCAGTCTGCTCAACTGATTGTAACAAAAACTAGGAGTCATAACTCATTTCTCTTTTTACCATAACCTCCTTATTGAACCTATTGGCAAGTTTTTGAGTTTTTTCTCTAAGATATATCTTCATCCTATCTGCCTCTCTTCATCTTATCTATTAAAATAATCAATTATAGTGTCTTAAATTGTTATATTCTGCTTTATTATGATTTTTACATGCATTATTTCATGAGGTTTTTATAATAATGGGAGAAGGATGTAAGAAAAAACAGATTTTCATTCAAGGTTAATAACTTGACCAATTTTATACAATAAACAACATGGATAAAGTATAAGACCAGTAGGTGATAAGTTTGTGAATAAGTGCCAATGTTTTATTATCTGCAATTTGTTAAGCATTTTTCATATTTTATCTTATTTAAACCTTATAACTAGAAAGTATAATAAAGCTTAGACATAATGTCAGCTGACCAAAATTAGAGTTCTCTTCGTTCCCAGTCTTAACTTACTCCTTTCCATTTTTCATAGTATCATCACAGAAATTTGTGAAAAACAGAATTCTCTTGTCATTACTCTGTTTAAAATATTTTAATAGTTCAGAATTCTCTATAGATTAAAGTCCTGATAGTCTCATTTAGTTTTTTATGGCCTGATGCCTGTGTTCCTTTCAAACTCTGTTTGCTTCCTCTGACTTCCCACATCGCCTGGATTCCAGCCATATGAAACATCAAGTTTAAACAGGCTGGGCTTTTCCTTTCCTCCGTCTTTAAAAAAGTTTTCTTTTGTCTTTTATTATTCTTTCCATATAGTTTTAACATGGCTGCCTTTGTACCATCTGTTCTTGTTTCTTTTAATGGCTACTCCCATTTTCACTCAAGTAGCCACACTTCCCTGGTTATATGCTTTGAACTAGATATAGCTCTAACAAATCACCATGATTCACATGCTGGTTATAATTCTTGGTTCAAATAACCCAAGTAGAGCCAGTGAGACAAAGGTGAAATTTATGTGGAAAATATCTTAAATTTTTTGAAGCATTTCTAGAATTGACACCCTTTCTAGCCATTAATTTGCAGTAGATAACCATATTATGACCATGAAGAAGAATGAGTCTTAAACTGAAGCTCAAAATTTGGGAAGGAAGAAGAGGAAAAGGCAGAAGTCAGGTCCTAAATGACATGACTAACCTGATGCAACAAATCAATACTGAAGCCATTTATACCTCAGGAAATTATACTTATGTACACCTTGAATTAACTGAAAGAAACTGAATGTTATAACACATTTTGTCATCTGAATGATCTCTACTGACAATAGATCTTTCTTAATCTCTGAAAGTTGTATATTCTTTATTCTGTTTTCCCTAAAATGCCTTGTGTTTACTTCTATCAAAGCCCATACTACAGTGCTTTAACTTCTGATCTGCTTCCCCAAGAAACTGAACATATTATGGAAAAGAGCTCATGTTATTTGTTGTTCTGGGGCTGTTACAACACTAAACGTGCTTAGAAACAACTCACCTGTACTAGTTAGCTTTTCATTACTATAACCAAATACCCAATAACACAACTGAAAAAAAATGATTTGTTTTGACCCACACTTTCAAGCGTTTCAGTTCATGGTTGAGATAGCTAGCTTGAGGTAGAAACATCATGGTAACTAAGAAGAAGATTGAGAGAGAAGAAAACCCAGATAAAAGAGGGCCAAGAACCAGATGTAGGTTCTAAGGTCATAGCCCCTGGACCATCCAGACATACTCAAAAGTGTGCTTTACTAATCTCCTAGGTGTCCGTGAAGACAAGTTGACAATCAACATTAACTACCACAAATTCATTCTTTACCAAATTGATACTCAAGTGCATCTCTTTAAATAATTCTTAATCTCCAAATAGAAACAAAATAAAGTCACAATTCTAGTTCGTATTATGGAATATCCTGCTTACAACTGAAAATGCACTCTTACCTGAAAGTCTCAAAAGTTCAGAATTTCTCAAAAGTCTGATTCCTATGTCTTCTCCGAGATTCAAGGTATACTCTTAGCTATGAGATCCTGTAAAAATTAAAAACAAGTTACATTGGTACATGGGTTCATGAGTACTTTTGTTCATAAACAATCTGGCTTTCCAACAGAACTGTTTGGAAAAATTTTGTTTTTCTTTGCAAACTCTGCGTTGTGTAATGAACATGAATACAGCTGTCTTTTTTAAATGAACACAAATATGGCCATCTTTTCCAAAAGCCTGGAATGAATTAAGTTCATGACTGAAGATATCACTATACATCTGCCCAAGGTATAATGGTAAAGGGTAAACATTTCCATTCCCATGAGAAGAATAGAAGAATAGTATCTGATCAAAGTAAGGTTAACACTTAGCAGGAAAAACATTAAATCTTGCAACTTTGTGTATGGAACACATGGTGCTATGTTTTGTTTTGTTTTGTTTTGTTTTTATCGGTACTGAGGATCAAACTCAAGGCCCCATGTTTGCAAGGCAAGCACTTATGCTGCTGAGCTAAATTCCCAGCCCAGAACACATGGTGTTATGATGTGGGCTCCTAAGGTCTTGGGAAGCCTCATCCCCATGGCTTTGCCAGTTGCAGCTCAGATGGCTTCTCTTTGGGGATGACTCTGCTTATTGCTGCAGCTCAGTGTGGCATGCATTCCAGATTCCTGGCACCTCTAACTTCCTGCAGTGAGGGTCTCTATTACAGCTTGGCTTCACCCATACAGCTTCACACATGCTCTCATTGGCTCCCAATGGAAATTCTAACTCAGTCACACATTGCCTGGCCTCTCAAGCTTTCCTTTGAAATTTTGGTGGAAGCCTCTATGATCCATATCCTCTTGCATTCTGAGTACATGCAAAACCTGCATCACGTAGATAAAATCCAGGTTGGCCCCTTGGAACATGACTACAGTGGCCTTTGAGTACATGCATAGCTGAACATGATGAAATAAATCCTAAGAAAGCAACTTTCTAGGGAAGAGGGTCTATAGAAGCAGAATAATATGATGCTCTCTTCTTAAAGCAAACTCTTACACTTTTTTATTCTTGAGCCTGTGATGGTTGAGGTCTAGCCAATGGCCATGATGCCCTTAAGGCATCTTTTCTATTGTCCCAGTACAAAGTACATGGTTTCTTTTAAATGGCATTAATCTCTTCAGTAATCATGCCTTGTTTGACCTCAGCTTTACTTAACATCTCTTCTGACCAAACTTTTCCACTCTGTTGTTTGCTTCTGAGTCTCACTGTAAAAGCTGTAGGCAATATTCATGCTGCTGGATGGCTGCACTGTCTTGAAATTTCAACCATCAGATTAATTATTTCCCTTTAATTTAGTTTCACTCAAAGTCTTGGGTCATGGACAAAATGTAGACAAATTCTATGCCAGAATGTAACACAAATAGCCTCTAGTTCAATTCCCAATAGATTCTTCATTCTGATTATAAATCTCATTATAATCTCTCCTGTTTGCATTGAGATCTCTCATCATCTTGGGCTCATACCAGAATTTCACATCAATATCTAGGCTTCTTATAGCTTATTCTGTAAACTTTTCCAAATTTCTCCTGTAAATCAGTTCCAAAGTGTGCTGAAACACATAATCAGATATAATTTCTAGCCTCAATCTACTTCTGGTACTAACTAGCTTTTTATTGTGACCAAATACATGATATACACAATTTAAAGGAGAAAATCACTTATTTTGGCCCATAGTTTCAGCTCATGGTTGACTGGCTTCACAGTAAAAATATCATAAAGAAGGATGAAATATTGTTCATATCATGGCAAGCAGAGGGACAAGCAAAGAGCCAGTGAGGAAGGAACCAGGCACTACATATAGACTCCAAGATCATCAATCAATCAATCACCCATAAATGTGTTTACTTAGGTATCAAGTGAACATTCAAGATTTATCATTTTCAAAAAATCAATATATTTGATGCAAGTTTTTCTTCTCTACACTGTAGACATTTTGGGTCAAATAATTCTTGCAATGTATCATTAATTTAGCAGCCCCTTTGGTCTATGCTTATTAGATGGTATTAACACCTCCCCCTGCATTGAAGCTATCAAAAAAGTCTCAAAACTTGACAGCTTTAACCCAGGAGGAAAAATAATCCCCAGACAAAGACTGTTGACTTAACATAATGACCAAGAGTTTAGACTTCATTACAAACATCTTATTTCTGGTAACCAGTAATTCTTACAGGATCATATATCCAACCCTGAATGTAAACAGAAAGAACTAAGGATCCAACTAAGAACAAATTATATAAGTTTCATGTGAAACTACTGTTTTGGTGTATAATAAAAGAGTGCTAGTTAAATTTCACCTCTAAGGTGCAGGATATGATTTCACACACTAAATCTGCTTTTCTCAGAAGTCAATCCCTGTCCAACTTCTCATTTCAAAGAGACAGGTCACTTTCATCATTGTAAAAGACCAGAGGAGGAAATGTCTCATCTGGTAGGAATAGTATACTAGTTACTTATAGCAGGAAAAACAAAAAATTGGCAGCGATTTTCTTTTATCGCCTCCTCATTCTTACATTCCTAAAGCAATGCCCAGGTGATGTCCTCCCACTTAGGATTAAATCTTTCAAACTGTTACTAATTATAAACTCCTTCAGAGGAGAGGTGTTTTCACTCAGAGTGAACATGCAGGTAGCTGGGCCCACACAACCTCCTTCGCCTCAAGGCAAGGACTTCTGCCTGAAATGTCCTTTCCCTAACAGAGGATGGTGAAAACAGAAGCTGTAGAACAGAACAGGGCCCAAAATCTTATTCGAATGATTACATTTTCTGTAATATATAAGGACTTCAGAAATAGTGTGCAATGAATGTACCTTACTATGATCTGACATAAAATAGTCCTTATCTTCAGGTCCAAATTGTATTGATACCAAAGCACTACTTGCATATATACCTGAAAATTGTAAAAATGTAAATATAAACATTTTAACAGAACTTTTCCTCTCTCTTAAACTAAAATTAACATAATCCAGTTGTAGTTTTAATTATTAATTTTCATATATATTTATTAAAATGTGTACAGGGCCTCAATTAAAAGTCCTGATTCCAAGTGCTATATAATGACACTAGTGAAATCCATGCTACTACATGCAATGTAATAACTAGTATCACTAATGTGATCAAGAATAATAATGACTATGGTTAATTTCCTCAGATACTCTAAGTGGCAATACCATTTTAAGCAACTAGTCAATCTAACCATAAATGGAACTTCTATAAAAAAGAAATTTTATATTAAAAATGGATTTCTGGCCATAAAAGAATTCTCTGAAACATATAATGGAAAATAATAATGGTGACTGCCATGATTTCACTATGTAGAAGTCATATAGGGGGAAAATATTATGGTTTCATATCTACACAGATTACTCCTGTGGCTGATACCAGGTTTTTGCCACACTAATCAATTCTCTGACACCCATTTAGTATCCAATTAATTCAGTTCAATTCTGACACTAGCCAGAGTTTTCACAGAACCTACAGATTAAAGGATCAAGACCAAAAGTCTATAATCTACTTCAGATATCAATGACAAATTCCATGTTGTTTTACCTGTACTTGTGACTAAATGGTTATAAATCAAAGGTTTTCATGACCTGCAATTTTCTAGAGTGACTTGAAGAACTCAGGGAAACTGTCTTTTATGAGTTTTATATAGCCCTCATTACATAGCCATAACTGACTAAGTCATTGGCCACTAGTGATTAACACAATTTTCAACCACTGTTCTCTTCCCAGAAGTCTGAGTGTAAGGCTGAAAGTCTCAACCATCTAAACAGAATTGGTCCCACTGATGACCAGCCATTCATGAAGTTTCAGCCATCAGCCATCTTGTCAGCACAAAAGGACACCTATCAGAGATTCCAAGAGTTTTAGGAGCTTTTGCCAGAAAGTGGATAAAGACCAAACATATATTTTTTATTATAAATCACAATATCACAGATAGATACTAAGCATAAATTATCTATGAATATTTTGAAAAGTTAACAGAGCCAAAATACTAAGTAATATCATTTTTCATTATTCTAATATGATGTACATGGAGCTTCATTTCTCTACTTTTATAGTCTAATAATAATCATCCCGTCTATTAATCCTTTATATATAAAATGCAGCACGTTTATATTGATCGATTCCTCCATACTCCTCTCTACAAAAGCCTGAGGCAATACTCTTAAGTCCTATTTTTTCTAGATGAGGAAAGTAAATTCAGAAAAGTTGATATCTTACAAATTTTCACAGATTTCAGGGGAAAAAATCACATTCTTTCTGTAAAGCATACCGATCAATACCTTATCCATCAAATAGGTGGTGCCAATATGTGTGAAGGCTTCATGGAGACTGGCATCACAATGGTAAGAGAGCTTATGGAGGGATAAACGACACATGCAGAAGAGGGTTGCAGGAAGGATGCTTCTGACAACTTGCTTTTAACAACTCATACTCCTTAGAACTAATGCAGTCATGTGAGACCTGAATGATTCCCACCAGATAGCATTAATCTATATTTGAGGATGGACTCTCCACAACCTAATTAACTTCTAGCTGGCCCACCTCTTAAATATTCTGTCACCTGAGCACCACCACATGGGGGAGCCAGCTTCCATTGTATGATGCTATGGATAGCAAGCCACATTTATACAACACTTGGTTAGACAAAAGAGTATGAAAGATAGTAGCTTAGTGCAGGGAGTCGTTCATAGTTATCTTAAAAAGAGTTAGGTCAGCCAAGTGTGATGTTACATGCCTATAATCCCTCCATCCTTGTAGGCTGAGGCAGGAGCAAGTTAGAGGCCAGCCTAAGCCTTAGTGATTTAGTCAGCTGCATATAAAAACAAATAGATAGACAAACAAATAAATAGTTAATTAAGCACAACAGCCCTAGGTTCAATTCCCACTACTACAAAAATAAAAAATATGTTTCAAGCAAATAAGCCAAGAAAAACTAATGCTAATAACAAAGTTGATTGGCTTACTTATGGTTTATATGATAACATGTAACTTATAAGAA